CCTCCGGGCAGGAGTTGGGGGGAGGCCCCGAGGGAGCGTGGTAACTCGTGGAGAAGGCGGGAGAAAGTTCTAGTCCCAACTCCAGCCAGGGTGGCCACCTTCAAACGCTTCCCTCAGCCATCGCCACCTCCAGACAAAGCCGCCCTGTGCGCCCCTGGGGGCCGCCCATTGGAGCCCAAGGAGCCCGGGCCTGGCCAGAGTGAGGGCGCAGGGCGGGGCTGCATTTCCTGGGGGAAAGGAGAGGCCAGGAGAAGTGTCCCAAACCAACTATCTCCAAAGGAATCGCCTTCCCACCTCACTCCCGGGAAGGGGTTTCAAGCCTTCTCATGCCACAGCGTAAGTAGTCTCATTCGTCCCAAATACACCAGGGCTGGGAACAGGTTCCGCCCCGGGATAGTGCGCTCTCTCACGTTCTGGCCTTCAGCAGCTCTGGCTCTGGTCCCTGCAAAGGGTGCATGGGGCCTCCCTGGACCAGCAGCTCTTTGAGAGAAATTTCCCTGTGAGATCCAGTGCTGTCAGCTGTGATCAGTTAGCTTAATCGTGAGCAAACTAGCCAAGCAACCCCAGCTGCCTGACCCGCCTCACTGTTTGCAGACCAGGGCTCACATACCCTGTGTTTAAATATTTACAAGGAGTGTATTAAACTAACAAGTAAAATATAGGGTGTCCTCTACAGATATATACACGCACTTTGAATAATTATAAAGACAGTGTTTATTAAGATACATTTTGTTTTCAAAATTAAGCTACGAGCTGTTAAAGTGTGAATACATTTTGGGGGAACACCATGTGTATTCTATTCTCCTGCCTTGGGAAATATACCTTCATAACAACCTGTTAGGCCAGGTGTGTGTGCAGAGTCCTGGGTACCTTGGACAAGGTCTAGAAGTAGGAAGGGAACTGTAGGATCTTGAAGTACATGTCCCTTGGCCCTGGAGATTTTTCACCCCTTGGAGGGGAGAGCTAGGATGCTGCCCTCGGAAATGCAGAGCCCAGGGCAGGGCTTTTCTTGCTAGGTGGGAGCAAGGGTTCAAGGCCAGTACTACCTAAGGCCCCTACATAGTTTACCTTAGGGACCAATTCCCAGGAACCTGTTCATATGACTAGAACTTTCCTGGTAGTAGGTAAATGGCCTTCATTTAATGTACACTGTGGCATTAACTTTATTTTTAAAAAATATATTTTATTGATTTCTTACAGAGAGGAAAGGAGAGGGATAGAGAGTTAGAAACATCGATGAGAGAGAAACATGGATCAGCTGCCTCCTGCATACCCCCTACTGGGGTTGTGCCCGCGACCCAGGTACATGCCCTTGACTGGAATCGAACTTGGGACCCTTCAGTTCTCAGGCTGACGGCTTTATCCACTGAGCCAAACCGATTAGGGCGGCATTAACTTTAAATAGCACTTCATTTGATCAACAGTTTTTAGATTCAACTATGTAAACCTAACAGTGTCCTCGCTAATTGTATGTCCTGTGATAAAAATGTTCTAGGTCTGGGCTGTTCAGGATGGCGACTATGAGTGTCTGTCTAACACTGCAAACAAAGCTTGACTGAGGTAAGAAGATAACTTCTCATTTTATTTCATTTTCATGAATGTAAATTTGAATCTAAATAGCCAATGTGCCTAGTGTCTACCACGTTGAACACTGTAGGTCTGAATACTGATGGATAGAAAAAGTGGGAGACCATCACCACCATTAGGTAACTCTAAATCTATTAGTAAGTTTACCAAGCAAACTGGCACTTTTGCCTTAAGTGGCTGAAATTGGTCACATTTCTCTTGAATTTACTTAAAAAGAATTATTATTGCCTAACAAAATCATCATCATCACCTATTTTCTTTATAAAAAGAAAAGCCTCTTATTGTAGCAATATGGAGATTATAGTAGCTATGTTACTATTGTCATGGCCACAAATTCTCATATGAACTTAGCATCTGTGACTATTTCCACAAAGTTTATTTCAGCTGAAATAAGCATGCATTTCTCTTTTGAACTTTGTTTGCCAAATAATAACATCAACTTGGTACTTAGCATCATTCTACTTCATAGGTGAGAAAGTTATCTAAGCACAGAATTATCAGGAAAAGAGTTATCTCAGGTGTTACCATGACTCCAAAGAGAAATATGGAGGAAATGTTTTATTATGTGAATAATTTCAGTCATTCATGCATAGAAATCACTCACTCATACTCTCTTTGAAAATAAAAATCATTATAGATCACAACAGGTGGTATGTTTAAGCTGGAAAGGGCTTTACGAAGTGTATCTTTCAGCACTGTAGTCCTTTGAATGCACACAACGCACAATTATTATCATTCTGTGCAAACGTGGGTTCATCAGACACGGCAAGCAGTCCTTTCCACACGTACAAACTCTCAGAGGACGATACGGTCTGAAGTTTACTGTCACTTAGGCTCAGTCACACCAAACTCTTACTTTAATTAAGCCACCCAGCCCTGACAGCCTCTTGCAGGACTGGTCTATCTACTGCTGCTCCTCCCTCAC